AAGCATTTAAAGATGCTGACACAGCTCGTGGGGATCCCCAGTCCCCCCAGTGTTTTGAGTAACAGAAGATGCTGGTTCCTCACACCATTTGGTTAGCTCTTGTAAGTAAAATGGAAGGATGGACACTATCTTGTTCTTTGTCTCAGGCTACAAAAGCCTTGGGCCAGCCTCTATGGCAGGGGTAGGCAACCTTTCCCCTTTAAGGGCCGAGGGATTTCATCTCCCAGAAGCCTCAGCCATGTTGGCCAATAGTCCCATGTTGGCCAATAGCTCCTGGGATTCTGGGAGCTGAAGTCCCTCGGCCCTTAAAGGGGAAAGGTTGCCTACCCCTGCTCTATGGCATTAATCCAGATTATTAGAAATATCATATCTCCCTTTAAGAACCCATTAAAACTTTAAGATCTTCAGAGAGGTCCTCTCTGTCCCACCACCTTCTCAAGCTCATTTGGTGGGAACAAGAGAGAGGGGCTTCTTGGTGGCTGCTCCCAGACTTTGGAACGCTCTCCCTGAGGAAGCTAGGATGGCCCCCTTCTTGCTCTCTTTCCAATGGCAAGTAAAAACATCAGACTTTTAGAAACTGACCTGGGGAGATTTTTAATGGTATTCTGTGTTGTTCTTTTGGGTTTTATATAGTCTTTTAGTGAATATTACCGGTTCATTTAATTTTATAAATGACTTTTAAAATAACTTTTGCATTTGTAGTTGTTGTCAATGTTTTTGTATAGTTTTTCATTTGCATTGGTTTTAATAAGTTGCAAGCCCAAAGACACCAGATCCTTTCTGATCTTGGAAGTTAAGCAGGGTCAGCCCTAGTTAATACTCAGATGAGAGACCACCAATGAATACCATGTGCTGTAGACTATACATCAGAAGAAGGAACTGGCAAAACCACCTCTGAATATTCCTTGCCTAAGAAAACCCTATGAAATTCATGGGGGCGCCATAAATCCACAGGTGACTTGAGAGCCCGTGCACACACACACACACACACACACACACACACACACATCCCCTTGAGTCCCATTATTGGGGGGAAATTGTGATATAAATGAAATAAATAAATAAGCAGGCTGGAGAGGCATTGGGCTTTGAACCATGGTGAGTGGCTAGGAGATTCCCCTTGCAGTCATGATGGAAATGACCCCCAGAAGATTCTATTTGCCAAGTGTGGGTAGCTGTCCTGTTAGGCCCATAGCAGCTTTGACGGAGACATCTTCAGGATGGGATAAGACAGATATACGTGCTTCTTCGTCATGCTTTGTTCCAAAATACATCCTCAGAGCATACACAAAGCCCTGGCTACCACCAAGGCTGCACCCAATGTCACCCTGAGTGGCAAAGGAGGGCAAGGCACTGCAAAATGGAGGATATTCAATAAAAATGTAGGACATGACCAAACACAAGCTTGGAACACTCATATAAAGATACTCATGCTTCATCATTATGCTCAGAATGGAGGACATTTTGGAATTCCTGCTGAACAGAAGATTGAAATGTTTGATGTGTTCTGGAAAAGGAGGATGTCTGGTCACCATGGTCAATGGGGTGGGAGGGGGTGACATCATGAGTTACCACACCAGGTGACACCAACCTTAGTGACGCCACTGCTGTGATCAATTCATTGTTGGCTGGCAGAAAGGGTTGTGATCAGGGAGATCAGACGCCCTCCTTTTCCAGGCCTTGTCCTACATTCGAGCCTTCTGTCCAAGAGGAATTCCCAAATGTCCTTCATTTTGAGCAGGACTAAGAAGCATGAATTTATATTTCTAGGAGTGTGGTTAGCTTTTATGCTAGGATTTCCTTCCTTTTTCTGGAATTTATATATATCTAGGAGAGGTGGCTTGTTTGTTTTTTGTTTGTTTGTTTGTTTGTTTTTGTTTTTGTTTGTTTTGTTTTCTGTTTGTTTGGTTTTTTGTTTGTTTGTTTGTTTGTTTTTTGAGCCTTTGTGTTAGAATGTCCTCCCTGCTCTTCTGGAAGGTCCTCCATTCCACGGTGCCTGGTCGTCCTTTGAAGCCCTGGTGGCACAGTGAATGCCCGTACTGCAGCCACTCCCTCGCAAACCATACGGTTGCGAGTTCATTACCAGCCAGGGCTCAGGCTCGACTCAGGCTTGCATCCTTCCAAGGTCACTAAAATGAGTACCCAGCTTCATGGGGGCAATTAGCTTACAGTTGTAAACCGAGACTGCATAGCACTATATAAATGAAGCTGCTTCTGATGCTGCTGCTGCTGAAGTTAGGACCCTGAATCAGGGTGACAAGGTGTCTTCCTTTTCCAGGGCATGTCCTCCATTTCCACCTTCTCTCCAGGAGGAATTCCCAAACATCTTACATTTTGAGCAGGACTAAGAAGCAGGATAATTCTTTTACTATTTCTATTTCTTCGTTGTCTAGATTGAATTTCTGAAGGTCCTCAGTGGTCATTATTTTTGTTTTCTTGATGTTAACCTTAAAGACATGGGAATGCCAACACATCTGATAGTTCTGATGAGGAATCTGTACTCGGGACAAGAGGCTACTGTCAAAAAAGAACACAAAGAAACAGAATGGTTCCCAATTGGAAAAGGGGTCAGACAGGGCTGCATCCCTTCACCCTTGAAAGCTTGCAACAAATACATTGTGCATTTTGGTTGGCCAATAAAGGTATCACTGATGGATGTTTTTGTTTGAATTTCCTAAATGGCCAACATAGCTACCCCTGAATGTTTTCTGTATTGTGAGATCCTGCATTGTAGCTGCAACAGGGCAACCAGGAAGAATAGCCTGTGGACTGGGAACTTCAACCAAGGTAAAACAGTTTTTCACCTTCTTCTTACATTTGGACTGAATTTGTTTTACCTCTACATGTTTTACCTCTACATCCACCAAAATATTCCTGATGCCAAAACTGGAGACTTCTTCAGGAATCCATTGTTCTCTGCTGCAAAGAGGCCTGTGACCTCACTGGAATGGAGACATACTGGATTGCAAAAGAGGGGTCCCTGTTGAGATGGAAAGGGATTTTAAATTTCCTGGACTTTGCAAATCTCCCTATAGCCACATGGCCAGAAGGAGGAAGTTCCTGCCTGCAAAAGAGATTCTCCTCACCATATACCATCTTAACTAAAGACTGAAACAACATGTAGGCATCTGATTAACATCTCCAATTGTTTTTTCCTGCTGAGTTTGTGACATCTTGCCCTGACAAAGCCTGTGGAGCAGGGGTAGGCAACCTAAGGCCCAGGGCCAGATGCGGCCCCCAAAGCCTTTGGACCGGCCCCAGGCATGTCCTGCCTCTGCTGCCGCTGCCGCCCCCCGCCGCCACCACCGGCCATGATGGTATTGATTATTGTTGTTATTACTTGTTCTTGGGGTTTTTCTTGGCAAAATCTCCACAGGGGTTTTGCCATGGCTTTTCTGGGGCTGAGAGAGAGTGTGCATGCATATTTTTTAAAAATATATATATATTTTTAATTATTTTTACTTATGTATTTATTTTTGGTGCTT